TATATATATATATATAAAACTTACCAGTTCTCACTGTTTGAGGTGGTGTGGGTGGTTTGGTGGTAGGAGCGGGTCCTACCATAGCAGCACCTAATCCTGAACCTGTGGAAGTAGCTCCTAAACTCTGAACGCTGCCTTGACTACCTCCTCTTTGTTTGCTTCGCGGTGTACCGCAACTACGTACACCATGTCCAATTTCATCTAAAATTGTATAATCAATGCTCTTCCTGACATACTTAATTGGTTTCTCAGGATTGGCAGGAGCGATGATTTTGTACTGGCGAGTTGTCATCTTGTTGGCTGTCAAGACGCCTATTTCCCTTCTGGCTACCTTTTCCTTATGAATCATGACTGTCTGTGCAATGTGATTCATTTGGCTTTCCATCTCAGCGAGCTGGGACGTCTGCAGATCCAGCAGTTGAAGAAAATTGTACGCCAATGTGTTTATTTGATATGCAACACTGGCTAAGGATTGTGTGGTATAATTCTTCGTTTCCTCCAGTGCAATCCTCTTGTTTTCTGCTTGGAAATAATTGGCTTCGCAATATTCTGCCACTCTCTCCAGATTTGTGTGGCTGTCGGCCAGATTGTTCCTACCCTCAGGAATCTCATGTCGCAGGAGTGCCGCTAATTCTGCCATGACTTCGGAATCACTACCCACTCCTGACGACACGCAATAAGATCCTGATCCTTCTTAAAAGCAAGAGAGAAAAAAAAATACAAATATTATACGTGGAAGAACACCATAAGTAAAAATTAAATTAGTCTCGTAAAGCACAAGATGTTATAAGAATAAAATATAAAGTAAAGCGATCACGAAGCCAAAAGTGTATTTAATGACAGTTTTATAGCTCCGGACCAGTTGCTCTATTCCCGCAAAGTAGGATCACTGCAATTGTTTCCGAGACGGAAGATATGTTAATTTCCAACAATGAGAACTTGGCACCTTTCTCACGAAGCAAGAGATAGTCGAGAGGATGGAAAATTAGATTATGATAGGGGCGGCGTCTGAAGGGAAATATGAAACAAGATGGACAGACTGACACATGCACGCACGTACACGTACACAACACCGCCTGATCGGTACGGAAAATGTTCCCAATTGACGCGACGACGGTGCGTACCAACAATCTTAGAGATTAAAAAAAAGAAGTAGAAAATCAACTAACGGTACTCAGCCATTATTTGCAACTACCAGCTACTAGCAGCCTCATTAATTCATAATTACCGAGCTCCCGAAATTTATGTAAAAAAAGAGCGTACGGAGGTATAAAACAGTATAAAATGGCCGCGACACGTGCGCGCGCGAGCGATGTACATCAATGATACACAATCGAGTCGCTGCAATTGTATCGCACAGTCACGATACAATCGATATCGTTGAGTCCGCTTTTTTTGTAACTGCAAAATGCGCGTTTTTTTCTGAATTGACGGCGATATCTAAATGTATATTTGTCGTGATTTAAAAAATTAATATTATATTCTAAATTAAAACTAAATTTTAACGCGTGAATTTCTACAAGATCGCTGCGGTGATTGGTGGATCTCGAACGAGGACCGTGATCGAATGAATCGATTGCGACGCTCGCGAGATATCGTGCGAATTACAAACGTAACGCCACTTATAAATACATCACGATTTCTGCTCGATGTCCGAACGCTGCGCATTTCAGTGTACTGTAGGTGTTTTACATGGTTTTACAGGGGATATGGATTCTTCTGTGCTCCCGTGAGTGTCTCCGGTTCGCAGCTCGAGTCCGGTGCGACAATCGTGTCCGCCCGCTCGTGTTCTGCGTCCACGTCCGCTCTAACTTTATCGCATTGCATTCGCCGTAGGCGACCGATCGACGGACATCTGAGCCGGTTGCAGTCTCGGTAAGTACGATTCTTCCGACAATGGATACGCGGAAACGCACCTTCACACCGAGATCATCGCGATTCTTTTGGTCAGCGAATCGTTCTCGCGGAATCTGCGTCGAAATCTGATTGTCATAGAACTTAAGATTGTCCACCTACTGTTCGCAGATCAGCCAACTTGGCAACCAACAGCAGCTCGAGGGTTTTGAGTCTTGCCTGGCAGAATGATCTCCAAATGGTCGAGGCAGTCGATTGTTCTGAAAAGTGGCCCACAAAATAATATCCGCTTAAAATACGCCTAGAGAGATTGATTTACGAAGTGGAAGGTATCACTCGATTGGTTTTGATATCCGCAAGAATGGACAATCTGCTGAAAGAGCTGGAGGCTCTGAAAATTAGGAGTGATTTCTTTGAGGATAATTCCTCATGGATACCATGCATAGACTTGATTCAGAAGAGTTTTGTACCACAAAGAACAGTCGGAGCAGAACGTCCATGCGAGGAGAAAGATTTCAGAGAATATAGGCTCGTTGTAGAAAGAAACTTGCATAACGTCAGGTCTATGTTGCAACATATTTCTAGCAATTCCAGAGAGAAATACTTTCAGCTGAGCAATGCCACAGGGATGGTTAGAACGTTTGGTATGAATTTGTTGCTGCTCATTGGAGAACATAGTGAAAAGAATATTTGGAACACAGCTGAGTGTGTTTCTATTTCCAAAGAATTACTTGCTAGTTTTTGTGACCTATACGTCTGCCAAAGTATTTCCCAATTTTTGTCAGAGAATGAGAATTTGTATAATTTGTTGCTGATGTTAAGACCTAAATTATTAAAAGATACCTGGAAAACTTATCCATCAGCTGTAGCATGTTATAGATGGTTTTTGCAAGAGGCAGAAGTAAGTTCAGTTTTATTTAGATCTTATACAGTTTATTACTTATATAGTTTATAATTATCGAAAGAATTAGGAATTTTCAAATTTTTTTTATTTTTGAAAATAAAGGATTTTTATGAAATTTTATCGGGAGTCGGAAAAATTTTTGAAATTTTATTTTTAAATTTAAATTCTGTCGTTTTTTGAAAATTTGTTTCTTTAATCATTTTTCCTTGATGCAAAAAAATGCAAAATGTTAAAAATTAGTTAATAAGTACACATATTTATATATACATATCCATATATTCATGTATATTCTTATTAAAAAAAATGAAGATAAAAAAAATATTAAGTAGCTTACTTTATACTGTGATAAATTTTTCTTATATTGTTTTTTTGGTTTCACTGTTTCAATTGTAAAAAATGTTATAGTCTCAGTCTCATGGAATTCCTGTTTTTTGCCAATTTTCAATGTATAGTTTATTTTATATATAATATTTTATATATAGTTTATT